CATGCATGCACTCTCACACATGGCACATACACACTCACACACGCACCTACACACATACACACACATGACACATGCACACACGCACCTGCACACACACTCTCTCACACGTGCACACACACTCACATGTGCACACATGTACACATTCTCTCACACACATTGTACAGATACACTCTCACATTCACCTGCACACACACACGTAACACACACGTGCACACACGCACGCATACACTCTCATACATGGCACATACACGCTCACACGTGACACACACATGCATCTGCACACACACATACACACTCACACATATGACACACTCTCACACACGCACGTGCACACATACACACTCTCATACATGCACCTGTATACATACACTCCCTCATACATGTGCACACATGTACACACATTCTCATACGCACCTGCACACATGCATGTGCACAGATACACTCACGCACACCTACACACATACATGTGACACACACATGCACACACATATGCATACACTTTCACACATGTGGCACACATACACACTCTCACGCATGCACCTGCACACACACTCTCCCGCATGTGACACATATACACACACTCACACACCTGCACACACATATTCACACATGTGACACATATACACATTCACACATGCACCCACACACATACACTCTCACACACGCATGTGCACACACACACACTCATACAGGCACCTGTATACATACACACTCCCTCACACACATGACACATATACACACACTCTCATGCACCTGCACACACATACACTCACACACGTGACACATATACACACTCTCACACACACACCTGCACACACATACACATACATTCTCTCATACATATGACACATATACACTCTCACACATGTATACACACATGTTCACACACATCCACACTCACAATGCACACAGATACACTCACTCACATGTGCATGCAGATACACACACACTGTCTCTCACACATGCACTCTCTCTCTCTCTCACACACACACACACACACACACACACAGATGGGTGCCTGCCCACCAGGACCCGGGAAACTGAAGACTTCCAAGGAGAAGAGGCATCTATCAGTAAGAGACAAGCCGAACCGCGGACCCCACAAGGAAAAAGGGGTTCCAGCCCACACTCAAGCCCAAAGTACCTCCCTTCTTTCTTGCCCAGGACTCCTGCATCCTGGGTGCTCCCCCTGCTCCTCCCACACCAGAGCCCAGGCCCAGGGAGCTCTCAGCCTAGAGCTGCTGCATCCCTCCCACCTGCCACTTGCTTCTTGCTTCTCCAGGAAACGCGCATGGGACACCTTGCCACCTGCCCTCTCTACGGTGGCCATGTGGGCGCCCCCGCGCCCCTGCCCCCCCATCCCACGTGATCTTCCCCTCTCCATGATCTAGTCCACCCCGGAGGCGGGAAAGGGCCAGGGAAAACCACAGCAAGAGGGGAAGGTTCAGAGAATGACAGGAGCCCAGAGAGAGCCTGGGGACCGGCAGAGCCAAAGAAAGAGGTCCAGGGACAGAGCCCTAGTGAAAAAGAAAAGTAAATATAGAAACCAGAGAGAGAGAGAGAGAGAGAGAGAAGGCAAAACAAAAGACAGGGAAAGAATGGACAGAGGGACTCCGAAGAGAGGCACACTCCGGCCCTTGCCCTTGCCCTTGCCCTCGGCCTGGGCTGAAGGAAGAAGCAGACCGCCCCTACCGACCGGCCCCGTGGGGCAGGGGCCAGGGGTCTGCCCCAGTGTCAATCAGGGCAGAGAAGCTGCCACCCACCTACACCTGCTGCCCCGGGGACCCGGGCCCCCGCCCCTGCCTGCATTCTTCAGAGCCCAGAGCAGACTGTACATGAGCACCGTCCCCACCTCCCCCCCGCCCCGGCCCCCCGGCTGCATGGCCCTCTTAAGCCTCCTCAGCGGGGCTGGGCAAAAGGGTGCCCCCTCACTCACTTCTCACTCCTCCAGTCCCCTCCCCTCACCCTCACTCCAGTCTCCTCCCTAAGAAGACTCGCCAGTCGCAGCCTGGCCCCGAAGACTGGGAGTGGAAGGGCCTGCCCTCTGCCCAGCAGTTCTCCCCAGCAAAGCAATAAAGAGGGAACAGGCAAGGGGCGGGGCTGAGGGAGCCGAGAGGACACCCAGACATCCTTCCCCAAGGGGTCCCAACCATGGGCAGGAGAGGGAGCCCGCAGGTGGCCAACGACACACCCTGGCACAAGCCCGCACGGGGATCGATCCGCCACCCCAGTGACCAGAAAGCATCACTCACCTTCCATGGGGTGCTCCTCTGTAAGTCAGCGAGGGTCAGGAAAGGGTGAGGCAGAGAGAGAGAAAAAGGGAAGACTAGTTAGTGAGGGTGCCGAGGACGGGGTCTCAAGGGGAGAGATGAGTTCAAGGTCCCGGTGCCCCGCCGTCCCTCCCCGAGGCCCTGACACAAGTCACCCACGCCGGAAGGCTCTGCTAGGGACAACATAGAGACAGAGCTGTTCCCTGAGTCAGTGCCTCACACACAGGGTCACACGGTCCAGGAGGACCCACGTCTCATGGTGCATTTCAGGAAACTGAGGCCCGGGGCAGGGAAATGAGCGCTCAAGGTCACATGGAGAATCAGAGGCAGAACCAGGCGCAGCAGTCAGGCAGTCTTGACTCTCCCAGGCACAGCTCCTCCCCTGCCTTCCACTGTGGCTCAGAGACAGATGGGGACACGCTCACACTCAGTGACACACTGACACACATAGGTACTTAGCGATCCAGAGACGCATATAATCTCTCACGCAACTCACCCTCGAGGCCTTTGCACACCCAGACCCAACCACCACCCCGCCACCCACCCGGGGAGAACAGTCACCCACACGCAGTCACAAAACACAGTTCGGCCTCCAAGGGCTGTGTGACTCCAGTCACTTAACCTCCCTGAGCTACTACCAGTCCCTCTTCCGTAAACATGACAGACATGGACCACATCGTTTCTGCGGCCCCTGTGGCTCGGGTTCTGTGATTCTAGGAAAAACAGCTGGGTGAAGTGAAGTGCCCCCCAGGGCTGGATGGGCCACTTCAGGGGTGGGACGGGGTCCCATTGCAGCGGGCCCATCCCTAAGTTACGTCACAGCCTTTGGGTAGCCAGCCCTCACCTTATTAGGGGTCTGCCTGGGCCTGGCCCTGAAGTGCACCAAATGGGTCAAGAGAGGGTAGAAGGGGGAGAGAGGAGATGCAGTTCCTTCAATTAGGCTGCAACTCCTCGAGTAGGCGGGGCTCTGGCCTGCTCTGTGGGGGGCTGTGCCCCCCCCCCAGCCCGTCTCCAGACATTTCTCAGGCTCCACCTACTGAAGCCGCAGGTGGGAAGAGAATCTGCACAACCTACGAATATACAGACCCAGGGGCGCCTGGGGGGCTCAGTCGGTTGAGCTCCGACTTCGGCTCAGGTCACGATCTCGCGGTTCGTGAGTTCGAGCCCCGCATCGGCCTCTCTGCTGACAGCTCAGAGCCTGGAGCCTGCTTGGGATTCTGTGTCTCCCTCTCTCTCTGCCCCTCCCCCGCTCACAGTCTGTCTCTCTCTCTTTTTTTTTTTTAACTTTATTTATTTTTTATTTTTTTTTAACGTTTATTTATTTTTGAGACAGAGAGAGACAGAGTGTGAACGGGGGAGGGTCAGAGAGAGGGAGACACAGAATCTGAAACAGGCTCCAGTCTCCGAGCCGTCAGCACAGAGCCCGACGCGGGGCTCGAACTCACAGA